CTGGTGGACTTCAAGCATTGGCCTTTCTGTTAATAACCAAGGTCTTTAAACCACCGTGCCAACAGGGTTCCTTAGTTACTTACTGTTGCTAAGTGCCACTGAGTGGGTTCCAACCGTGTATTGGGTTTCCGAGGAGTGGCGTGTGAGTTTGAACCATTGGCATTGCGATCCAGACTGACCAAATGCGTACCCTACAGGCCCACACCAGGACTCCCACGGACTTATTGTTGTTGTTAAGTGCCATCGAGTCGTTTCTGACCCATATCGACCCTGTATAGGATTTCCAAGGAGTGGCTGGTATGCTTGAACCACTGGCTTTGTGGTTCAAACCAACTTTGCAGTCCAGCACATTAATTAGCCCACGGTGCCAGGAACATTTTAAATCTCAATTTGTATATTTATATAATATAGATACATTTGTGTATTTATAAATATATTTGTATCACTATAGTGTACAAAGGAGCTCTGGTAGTATAGTGGTTACGAATCAGGCTGCTAACCTCAATGTTGGCAGTTTGAAACTACCAGCTGTTCGTGGGAGAAAGATGAGGCTTTCTGCTCCTCTAAAGATTTGCAGCCTCAGAAACCCTGTGCAGGGTCACTATGAGTCAGAACTGACTCCAAGGTACTTAACAATAATATACAAGGGGGCTTCAAAAATTCACAAATAAAAAAAATTTTAAACCTAAAATAAATAATTTTTTTTTAAATCCATGTAAAAATTCCATTATCTTTTAATTTCCTTTTTCCAGAAACTTTTTGAAGCCCCCTCATATATTTATATAAGTATTGTAACTTGTCTTCTAACTTACTGTTTGAAAGTGATGTTGGGTGGAGGTTGCCTCTAGTTTTAATTAAGTTTGAATTGAGCTGGTCCTCCCATAGATAAAAACTGTAAATATAGACAGAATTTGAAAAAGGATTTTCTGGGGGCATTGGAGAATGAACAAATGATGGCAGATTCTGGAGGGGAACAGACCCTCGGAACAAAGTAAGCATGGAGTGATTGTCCAGGGTTCCTTGTTTTATTTTTCAGGCTTCTAGCTCTGGTAGCGTAGTGGTTTTGAGTTGGGCTGTTAACCTCAAGGTCAGCAGTTCAAAACTACTAGCGGTTCTGCGTGAGATAGGTGAGGCTTTCCTGTAAAAACTGACAGTCTCAGAAACCCTATACAGGGTCGGAACCAACTGGACATCCCTTAACAACAACAGCCTTAGGTGTCACAGTTGACACCTCACCTCATGGGACGACTCAAACAGTGACTGAAATTTTTCAGTCTTTCTGGTCTGATGAGCTAGAAAACTGAGAGTAGGCAACCAGAGCCACTGGGAAGTAAGGGGAACCTCAGACAGGCAAGCACTACAGAAGGGAACTACAGATTCCCATGCACATGCATGTGCCAGGCAGCCCCATAACTAAGCTGAGATGGGACTGTTGCCCAAGAATTAGTTTATACTTTGAATCTTAACAAGTTAATTTCTTGATAAAACGAAATAAAATCAAAAACAATTGGGAGGAATAAAACTAAATCCCAAGATTCCACAAAAACATTAAAAGCATCCAGGTTACACTCCGAAATTTCTCAACATATGAAGAAATAGGAAAACATGACGCATTCTCAGTAGAAACGTTAATCTACAGAGAACAAACCCATATTGATCCAGGTTAATCAGCTTTTTCAAGACTGTCCAGGAGATTCTGCTATATCCTAAAATTTGAGTCATTGATGTGAATGTAAATTTCCTGAATAGGAAGAAAGAAAATTCCAGAAGAGAAGTAACAATGATAAAAGACAAATTCTAGAACTGAGAACTACCATGTCTGAAATAAGCAAATTCACTGGTGATGGTGGTAGTGGTGGTTGTGTGCCATGGAGTCAGTTCCGACTCATAGCAACACTGTACAGGGTTTCCACGGCTGTAAATCTTTACTGGAACTGAAACCGTCATCTTTCTCCTGCGGACCAGCTAGTAGTTTCAGATTGCTGACCTTGAGGTTAGCAGCCCGACTTGTAACCACTACACTACCAGAGCTCCTAAGCAAATTCACTAGAAGGACTTAATAGCAGAATAGAGATGATAGAACAAAGAGTCAGTGAATTTAAGATAGAAATTACTCAAACTGAAGAACAGAGAGAAAAATAGATTGTGGGGGAAATGCTGAACAGAACTTCAGGGACCTTAGGGACAAAAGAGTGTGTATTGAAGACATGGAAGAACTGGAAAGAAAGACTGTTGCAAAAAAAAAATATTAACCAAAGTAGCTTAAAGACCTAAACTGTACAGATTCAGAAGTCTCAGTGAACCTCAAGTAGTTTAAATACATAGAAACCCAGCATAGTAAACTGTTGAAAATCGAACATAAAGAGAAAAATAACAGAAGCAAACGCTTAGTAAAGAAGAAATATGGATAACAAAGAAATACATTAAAAGTTGTTCAATACTTTTAGTTATTATGGAAAATGCAAATTATAACCACAAGGAGATACTCCTACATACATGTTGTTGTTGCTAAGTGCCATCTGATCAATTCCAACTCAGAGGGATCCTGTATAGGGTTTCCAAGAAGCTGGGGGTTTTGAACCACCAACCTTCCAGCTAGAAGTCCAGCGCTGATCCCACAGTGCCACATCAGGTGTCCATTACTAAAGTAAAACTGACTAATACCAAGTACTGGAGAGAATGCACAATACTTGAAACTTGCATACATTGCTGTTGGGAATGCAGAATGGTGTCATCACTTTTGAAATCAGTCTAGCAGTTTCTTACAAAGTTAAACATACACTTACCATATTATCCAGCAATCCCATATCTAGAGAAATGAAAACTTACATTTACACAAAAATTTTTGCCTGAATGTTTTATTTATATTGGCTTAATTCATGATCACTCAAACTGGAAACAATTTAAATCTTCTTCAGTTGGTGAATGGATAGGCAAATTATGGTATATCTAGATACTGGTGGTGGTAGTGGTTGTGTGCTATGGAGTCGGTTCTGACTCATAGTGACTCTACTATATACGATTTCTAAGACTGTAAGTGTTTACGGGAGCAGAAAGTCTCATCTGTTTCCTCCTAAGCTACTGGTAGATTCGAACAGCTGACCTTGTGGTTAGCAACCCAACTCATAATCCCCTATGTTACCAGGGCTTCTTCATTTATCTGTTGTTGTTAAGTACCATCGAGTCGGTTCCGACTTATAACAACCCTGTATAGGATTTCCAAGGAGCCAATGATAAGTTTAAACTGCTGACCTTGCGGTTCAAACCTACCTCGCGATTCAATGCTTTATCTTACAGCGTCACACCAGTACTCCTTGTTTATATGGTGTTGTTGTTAAGTGCCGTGGAGTTGGTTCTGACACATACTGACCCTGTAGAGGGTTTCCGAGGAGTGGTTGGTGAGTTTGAGCTGTCAGTCATGCAGTTCAAACCGACCATGCCGTCAAGTGCTTATCCTATATTGATTGTCACACTAGGACTCCCGTCTATATACTTGTTGTTATTATTAATGCCATCAAATTGGTTCTGACTCATAGCAACCCGGTATAGGGTTTCCATGGAGCGATTGGTGAGTTTGAACTGCTGACCTTGCGTTTCAAACCAACATTGAAGTCGAATGCGTATCCTTTGGCGTCACACTAGGATTCACCAACAAAATAGAGCAAACTACTGATACATTCATTGACATAGATAAAGCTCAGATGTATTATGCTCAACAAAAGAAGCTAGAGTCAAAAAGATACATATTTTACTCTTCCATTTATATGACATAATGGGAATGATAGAATTATAGGAAGCACTATATTAAAAAGATGAGTGATTGGCAGGGATCGAGAGTTGGGAGGATGTGATTATCAAGGACCATTGTAAGTATATTCTTAAGCGTGAAGGAGGTGTTCTGTATCTAGATTTTGGGTATGGTTAAATGTCTATATACTACTCAATTATAGTCATTTATTTAACCTACCTACCTTCATCGAACTGGACACTAAAAATAATGAATTTTACTAAATGTAAATTTAAGATTCAATTTTAAAAGGAATAATAATTTTTTAAAAGGTTAAAAAAAGAAAGAGGCAAAAGGAAACCAGCAAACCTGCTCTATGCGAAAAACATTATTTTCAGGTTGAGGGGAAATGATGACAGATATCTGCCAATGTTAATTCCTTCAAATATGCCCAAATGTGATTCTATTGAGGAATATCAAGGAAAGTAGAGGAAATGATTTTTCTTTCAGTGTATATAGAAATATACATACATTTGTTGTATACATTATATATATGTGTGTGTGTATAATGTAAGTGTATATGGAACTGAAAACGGAGACTTTGGATTCATTCATATATTCATTCTCTCAGTCATTTAACAAATATTATTAGGCACCTATTGTATACCAGGAATCCTGGTGTGACATTTTAGAATAAAGCACTGGACCGCAAGGTTCATTTGAATCACAAGGTTGGTGGTTCAAACCTACCAGCTACTCCTCACAAATCACATACAGAGTCACTGTGAGTCGGAACCAACTCGATGGACCCTAACAGCAGTAACAAATTATATACCAAAGAGTTCTTGTGGCATAGTGTGATATATGCCCCCAGTTGCTCCGCAGGAGAAAGATGGGGCTTTCTGCTCCTGTAAAGATTTACAAACTTGGAAATCCTATACAGAATTGCTATGAGTCAGAACTGACTCGACAGCGCACAACAATAATTGTAAACCAACCGTAGTTCTGTTTTTTTGAGATACACATATGGGTTGAAATTGATTCAATGGCTGTAGGGTTTTTTTTTTTTAGATTTGTTTAAAGATAGGTAGATTGGAAGGAAAATCATGTTCTCCCTTGTGAATAGTGGCAAAACTGAGCATATAAACAAGACTATCTTCCTTATAAATAAGAAATGTGTGCATGCATGTGTATATATGTATTTGTTTCTTCCCCTGTCCAGTCCTATGGCTGCAGAATACCATGCTCAGACTTAGTTTTATTTCTCTTTCAGACATCATTCAGTCGGGGTTTCACAAAGAACATGAAACTCGAGGCTGTCAATCCCAGGAACCCAGGAGAACTCTGCGTGGCCTCCATCGTCAGCGTGAAGGGGAGGTTACTGTGGCTTCACCTGGAAGGTATGTATACAACAGTTATAATTCTGAAGAACTAGGTATCCAGTAAAGTGGCCACAAGTATAAGAATTCAGCATTTCTCAGTTTTTATTTAAACAAATCTTAAATAAGTGAAACTAATCAAATATAAATTCATTCAGAGGCTCTCATCTTCACAAATAATTTCATGAAACGAAGTGCTGGCGTGATAATTATGTTTGGAACACAGCGGTCTTTTTTATAACTACGATCGTGAAATCTTGTCACAATTAAATTACAGGGGGCTCCCAGGTTATAAATATCTAAACTACACAGACAACTCCTACTTGTACTTTAATATTACATAAATTTGTCCTCCTATGGAAATGGTGGAACCAATCCCTACGCAACAAATTCTGCATCACCGTCACTTCACTTACTGCATCTGCAATTTTCAAATCATTGGAAAAGCTTCAGGCTCAAAATCATGCTAAAAAAGGACCATATGTACCTGCTATGACTTAACGACACAGGAACTGACCTTGATCGTAACCCAGGACAGTCTGTAATATGAGTCACTTGCACTAGTATTTGAGGTCTTGGGTATTACAAGGACAAACTTATGCATTTGCTTTTTAATATGAATCACACCCTTTATTTCTTTTATGGATGTTCATTTTTGTTTTGTTTTTTTCACAAAAGAATAACTACAGAATAGCTTTGTCCCCAAAGGTATAATAAAAAGAATTTAGGCTTGTTTTTTTTCAATGATGGTTAAGTTGTTCTTTTATTTATTTATTTTTATTTACTTACTAGTAAATAAAAAGGAGCTCTGGTAGCGTACTGGTTACGAATCGGGCTGTGAACCGCAAGGTCAGCAGTTTGAAACTACCAGCGGTTTCCGCGGGAGAAAGATGAGGCCTTCTGTTCCCGTAAAGATTTACAGCCTCAGAAACCCTGTGCAGGGTTGCTATGAGTCGGAACCGACTCCACGGCACTTAACAACAACAACAGCTAGAATACAGATAATTCATAGAACTGTATATTTTTGTGAACAGAACCAAAATCAACTTTTCGGTTTGGGTTTATTTTTATTTTAGATGCTATTGAGTTGGTTCCGACTCATAGTTACCCTATGCACAACAGAACAAAACACTGTCTGGTTCTGAAACACCCTCACAATGGTGGTTATACTTGAGCGCATTTCTGCTGTCTCTGTGCCGGTCCATATCTTTAGGTGTCTTCCTATTTTTGCTGACCTTCACTTTGCCAAGCATGATACTGTTCTCCAGAAACTGGTAACTCCTGATAACATGTCAGACGTATAAGATATGAAGCCTTGCCCTCTGGTTCTTAAGGAGTATTCTAACTGTACTTCTTCCAATACAAATTTGTTTATTCTTCTGGCAGTCCATTGGTACTTTCAAAATTCTTCTCCAAAACCATAAATGAATCTATTCTTCTACAGTCTTCCTTATTCATTGTCCAACTTTCACGTGCTTATGGCGCTGTTGAAAATACCATGGCTTGGGTCAGGTGCACTTTCGTCCTCAAACTCTTATCTTTGCTGTCATACACTGTAAAGAGATCTTATGCCCTAGATTTGCCTAAAGCACTGCATCATTTGACTTTTTGACCGCTACTTCCTTTAATGTTAGTAGTGATCCAAGCAAAATGAAGTCTTTGATATCTTAAATCTTTCTCTATATTATGATGGTATTTATTGATCCAGTTGTAAGAGTTTTTTGTTATCTTTACTTTGAGATGCAATCCATAGTGAAGGCTGTAGTTTTTTTTTATCTTCATCAGTAAGTATTTTAAGTCCTCTTCACTTTGTATCATGATTGTATCATCTGTATATCGCAGGTGATTAATGAGTCTTCCTTCAATCCTAATGCCACCTTCTCCTTAGTGTAATCCAGCTTCTCATATTATTTGCTCAGCATACAGATTGAATAAGTATGGTGAAGGAATACGACCCTGGCACACACCTTTCCTGATTTTAAAACATTCAGTGTCCCCTTCCTTTTTGGAACAACTGCCTCTTAGTCTATGTACAGGTTCCTCCTGAGCATGATCAAGTGTTCTGGAATATCCGTTCTTCACAATGTTGTCCATAGCTTGTCAGGATCCACATAGTTGAAAGCTTTTGCATAGTCAATAAAACGCAGGCAAACATCTTTCTGGTATTCTCTTCTTTCAGCCGTGATCCATTTTATCAGCATTGGTATCATCTAGAGCCTCTGGCAGTTTCCTGTTGGTATACTCTTGAAGCCATTTTTTGAATTATGTTAAGCAAAAATTTACTTGTATGATATTAATGATATTTTCCGATGATTTCCACATTCCGTTGGGTCACCTGTCTTTTAAATGGGCACAATTATGAATCTCTTCCAATTCTTTGGCCAGATAATCATTTTAGACATTTCTTGGCATAGATGAGTGCATACATCCAGTGCTTCATCAGTTTATTGAAAGATTTCAATTTGTATTCCATCAATTCCTGGTGCCTTGTTCTTTGCCAAGACCTTCAGTGCACCTTGGACTTTTCCTTCAGTACTATTTGCTCTTGATCATAAACTAACTTTTGAAATGGTTGAACATTGACCATTTTTTTTTGTTGGTGGTGGTGTTAGAATGAGAGTCTGTGTATTCCTTTGATCTTCTTTTCATAGTTTTTGTATCATGTAATATTTGCCCTTAGAATTCTTCAGTATTTCAATCTCGAGGCTTGAATTTTTTGTTTTAATGTTTTATTGTGAGTTATGTGATAGTTTACATGGGAGAACATTAGCTTTACATTCATTCTATCGTATATCGTTTCATTGCCATGGTTACAGTCCTCTCTGTGCATCATCAAAGAGTATACCCTGCAGAGGCTTGAACTTTTTCTTCAGTTCCTTCAGCTTGAGAAATGCGGTGTGTGCTTCCTTTTTGGTTTTCTAACTCCAGGTCTTTGCACATTTCATTAAAATAGTTGACTTTGTTTTCTCAAGCAGCCTTTTAAAATTTTCTGTTCAACTTTTTTACCTCCTTATTTTTTCAATTTGTTTTAGTATTTCTATACTAATGAACAAGGTTCAGAATGTCCTCTGATACTTTTTTTTGCTCTTTTCCTTCCCTTTTGTCTTGTTTTGCTTTCTTCTTGCATGATGTTAATGTCATCCCACAACTCTTCTAATGTCAAATCTGTTCTTGAAATGGTCTGTAAAGTCTGGTGTCATATTTTCAAGGTCATACTTTGGCTGTTGTGGACTTGTTTTAATTTTCTTCAGCTTTGGCTTGAACTTGCATATGAGCAGTTGATGGTCTATTCCATAGTCTGCCCCTGGCCTTGTTTTGGCTGATGATACAGAACTTTTTTATTGTCTCTTTCCACAAATGTAATCAATTTGATTTCTGTGTATTCCACCTAGAGAAATCCATGTATGTAGTAGACTTTTATGTTTAAGAAAGGTGTTTGCAATGAAGAAGTCATTCATCTTGCAAAATTCTATCATGGGATCTCCAGCACTGATTCTATCTATTGCATCATCACTGGCTTTAGTGATTGATGTGTAAATTTGAATAATCATGGTGTTAACTGGTGTGTGTCTGGGTATTATGCTATTAGAGATAGCATTATACTTCAAGATAGACTTGAAGGATTTTTTTTATATACTGAATGCAACATCAGTCCTTTTGAAAGTGCCATTTTTACATAGTAAACCACACAATTCAAAATGGCCATTACCAATCTGGACTTCTGGTGTGGTTCTGCAGGGACAACACTGGACTGTGAACTACAAGGTCAGCAGTTCAAACCCACCAGCTGCTCCTCATAGGATCATAGGATCTCAATGACTCGGAACCAACTCAACAGCACTTAATAACAACAACAAATGCCCATGATATTGATCTTTATGCATTCCATTTCATTCTCACAACTTCCAGTTTTCCTAGTTATATACATCATACATTCCATGCTCAGATTATTAATGGATGCTTGCAGCTGTTTCTAGTCATTTTCAGTTGTGTCTCATCAACAAATGAAGATCCCGAAAGCTTGGCTGCATCCACACCATTATGGTTAGCTCGATTTTGAGGAGACAGCTCTTCCCCAGTCGATTTTGAGGAGACAGCTCTTCCCCAGTCGTATTTTGAATGCCCTCCAACCTGAGGTGCTAATCTTTCGACACTTAATTTGTGAAATGGTCTGCTGCTATTCATAGTTTTCAGTGGCTAAGCATTCAGAAGCAGTCTGCCTCGCCTTCATTCTGAAAGCTCAGCTGAAACTTGTTCACCTTGGTGACCCTGCTGGTGTTTAAAATAACAGCGGCACACCTTCTAACAACACAACAATGTGCAAGCCACCACAGTATGACCAACTGACATATGATCAGTGGCAGATTTAGGTAGAAGACCAACATGTCCCAAATGTTATCTTCTCAATGAGATATAATTTAAATGAATTATTTGTTCTCTAAGATTTTCTCATCGTCTCATAATATGCATTGTTGTTGTTGTTTTTTTAAGATTTCATAACATTAAATAGTAACTTTAGCATACATGGAAAATGACTAATAAAAAACTAGATATGAATAATAAAATAAAGTTAGCTTATGACCTACTCATCATCCTTAGTAGAGAAAGTTTGGAAGGTCACAAAATTGTTACAAATTTCTCTGTCCTATTTCCTCAGGGAACAATGTTTAAAAGCAACATAAGGTGTGGTGCTGTTGGGTAAGCACTGGATTGTTAACTGAAAGTTCTGGCATTCAAACCTACCTACCCCTCTTGGAAATCTGTCCGGGGTTGCTGGGAGTTGGAACTGATTCAATGGTACTTACCAATATCAATAATATCATTTCATAAATATTGTACTCCAAGAAATTGGGAAAGATAGAGAACAATAATTTTACTGAATGTCCTGGGAAATAGTTTTAAGCATCACTATGGTTTAGGATTTTCCATTAATTGAAAATAAATGGAAAGTCTCAGAAGACTGAGTACTTGGTTAGTGGATTTTTAAGTAGAATGGTAGACTGTAGATGAAATGAACCCAA